GACCGTTTCTTTTCCCAGCCGAAGACAGGAAACGTGTCGCGGTCCCACTAAACACGCATGCATGCACGCACTACCGCCACCATATGAAACAACATGCAATACGATATGGCACGGCACGGCACGGCACGGCACGGCATGGCATGGCGCAGCACGGTATCCAACACAAGCTTTTTAGTATATGCGCAGCATCGTTCGTAGTTCGCGCATATTCCCCGTGGTACCGTGTGACAGGACGATATCTGCCCCCGGACACCGTTTTCCCGGCGTGTTTCTCTCTCGTGCACCTTTGCGACCCAAGCAAGCGTTCCCTTACGCCGAGGAAACGGATCGATCGCCGAGATCAGGGGACTCGACGCTGCTGGTCCTCCTCCCATCATCGAAGACGGAAAGTTCGTTAAACACTCTCCGGAGGAGTGGGGGAGGGGTAACGGGAGATGGTAGAGGAAGGGCAGGAGGGAAGAAAACCCTCTCCCGCGTCGCACCCCACGTGTTTTGCGCGGTCAAACACAACAGACACTCGCCCGGTTGCCCCGTGCGTTTTATTCTTTCACTCTGGGATCTATGTATGGCTGTGTGTATCTTCCTTACTCTTTCGGCCTCTATATCTCTCTTTTTCCTCCTCCCTTTAAGTTTGTATCCTGTCCTGCTCTAGCCTCGTACGCTCCTTTATCCTTCTCCCTTAATCCGTTTCTCTTTATACGCACAGACACACGCGCACGCGTGTGTGTACATAAATATAATACATATACGGAGGAGACAAAGTAGTAGATACATATACGAGAATATAACACCGTCGCGGCTCAAGTGTCCTCCTATGCTGTCCCCTCCTGCGGGGAACAGTGGAAGGACCTTTAACGCTCGTCCCTCTACCGATCTAGTAATTTATGCTTCTCCTCTTACGTTCACGTGCTCGCGAAGTTCTCGGCGAAGTAGTCACCAGGAACACTGGCACCGCGTTCCACGTGGGTAAACGTGTCCCTTCAAAACACCGTCACGGTCCTCGCCACCGCCGCGCATTCCACCGTGCATAGCGTTGAGCCCGAAACTATACATATACACCGAGTGTGCCCAACGGGCGCTCACCACTGCGGTCCGCGAGCCACGCGTGTGCCTTTTTTTTCTTTTTCTCCTCACTCGACGGCAAGGTGTAGCGCACTCGATTCAGTTGCAAGTCCGGTCGATAGCACACCGCGACGGAAACGCGACACAGTGTACGTCTCACACACACGACGCGAACGGAACGTTTAGCAACATCCCCACGAACGAGTCAGCTGGTACTGATCGCCATCATGATCGCGACCGCTGACTTAGCCACGGGTCACGGACGTAGACGCGCCGGAGAAACGCGTGCCAAGCGGCCCCTCGTGTCCCACGTTGGAATCCGACGTATGCGCCGCCGTTCGTGTGGACGCCTCAACTAATCGCAGGTCTGTGCACGCTAATACCGGAAGTCCCTACCACAGATGAGGTATAGGTCAGATGTAACTACAATGGAAAATTTTGTCGCACGCTCTCGAGGGTACTCGTGTACCCCTTGCTATTTTTATGTCACGCCCTGACGTATCGACTAAGACTGGTTTTGTATGGCAGCGCTATAAGCGACGGAAATGAGAAAAAAAAAAATATTGAAATTTTAAATGACAATCAGTACAGTGTTGCCGATATGAAGAATTCTTTATTCATTGAACTGAACGTCGCGACGTGACTTTTCAGTAGTCATTATGTAGTAATTTGTATAAGTAGCTTCGCGCGTTAGGAGTTTGAAGCATGACAACATTGTAACGGATACGTTTGTATACTGGTTTACCATTTACTACTTGGTCAACTTCGATCATTTTGCTTGATATGTAATTTTCCTATGGACCGTTTTCTAGGCGTAGAGGGCAGAGTCAATCCTCTGTCTTTTGACACAGTCGATAATTCAGAATATGTGACACCGAGTACCGTAAGTTTGCAATGTCTATCCTATACCTCGTCCGTGTCTCTATTTATTTGCTCTACTCGACTAGACGAAATAAGAATAGGACCATCCAATGCAAATAGTAGCTCAGTCGTAGTATAGGGCCCAGAAACACTATGGTGCAGCCCTGGTGAAGAAGACAAAAGGAACCCAGACTATCCATTGTTAGTTAACTTTGTTGCTAACTGATCGTTCATAGAGATTTGAATTTTTAATGAATTTTTGTAATGGAGACTATATTTAGATCCTGCCTTTTAGTTGTTTCATTCTATTTCAACTTATGTCTCTGCCTAAATATCTTTAATTTATTTGTAACTGCTTTGGGATTTAGGCAGTTCAACTTCTTTATTGACTCTTTGTCTTGTAATGTTCATTTATGTAAATATGTATAAAGATTTAACCTAATTTTGATTGTGCAGTAGCTGAGATGAATCTACTTGAAGAAATGAGGGGTGTTTAGGTCTAGCTATGGAGTCCCTTGTTGTAGCGATATTCTATTATCTTTTGATGCGATTAACACTGTAAGATGAACGGGGCAGCGGATAGTTACCATCGACTAACCATTCGGGGAGCCATTGTTCCCGTCGAAAATGAATATCCATTGTACGTGGCATTATTCGAACCTCTCCTTTAGCGATGACGGATGTGGACAGGTCAGACTTTGATGGGACGTTCTAGATGGGAGGATGACCTTAGGCTTTTGGTAGGCAGACAAGAATACTCTTTTCCTTTTTGCGATTCTTCGTTACCTCTTTGTTGGTTCCTTTGGGGTCCATAATGATCGTCATTTCTCATGTCAGATGATGCCGAAGGATGTAGAGTAATAAAGCGCTGTAGACGCGTTTACATTTGATTAGCTCAAGAAGGGAGAAAGAGTACAGGTACAAGTGTTTTACCTCTTCATATTGATTCACTTGTTATCTGGAAGTTAGATAAATGAAGAGGATAGCAATTACGGGAATATTATTCATAGCTACCTGTCTTATGAATGACAGTTAATAAACGAATAGTAAAACTCTACCTTATCGATAGAAGCGAACACACCTTTACCTTTTATCGGTCAGACTTATATTATTTATTTTATTAATTTTCATCATCGACGACTTGTTGACTAACCAAAAGAGTCCGGGGCGTTTTGGCGAGGGATACCACACTAATTCTTCTATCATTCGCATATCAAAAATACTTATACAAAAAATATTAAAACATTAAAAGGAACAGTTAAATTGAGTATATAAATGTTAAAAATACAAATAGTATTAAAAGTTGCTTGAAAATGTACGAGAAGACATTGCTAACGTTGCAACAGATATTTTATTACGTGGGATATAAAAATATTTATATTATAATTTTGTTTCTTCGCATTTATATTTCATATATAATGTACATAATAAGAATACATTAATTTTAGTAAACGTGAGTGAATATAATCATATTTTGTTACTACGATAAGATTTTCCTATCCGTGGCTTATAAATCAGAGAATATTAGAGTCTTTCACAATTTCTGAGCATCTTACGTCTTTGTTTACCATCCTATTGGTCAGCCGGATACAGCCTTCCTCCCGATGAGACCTAGACCTGGACCTGGAGTCTCATCACTGCTAAATCAGATGGCTACCCCTTGCCTTCCCGACAATTCTGGTGGACGGAATCCAAGTTTTCCACTTTGGAAACCTGTATTATATAGTTTAGACTCATTTTCGACCAAAGGTATCCCGAACTTCCCATTGGTCAGCCGGATGTAGCCTCCCTCCCGATGAGACGTCGACCTGGGATTTCATCACTGCTAATTCATGTGGCTATGCCTTGCCCTTCTGACAATTCTGATCGACGGAATCCATGTTTTCTACTTTGGAAACCTGGTTGGTTTCTATAGTAGTCCGCATTACAGCCGTAGATAAATACTGGGATTGGGAGTGGGGAGTGCCGGTGCTATCCGAGACCCCATAACCATTCCTCTAGTCATCACGTCGTTGACGGTCGGTAGATGTGGTTTAGATTAAAATTTGTTTACTCTAAAGGACACAATGTACGTATTTTTGAGGTATATTTATTTTCATATTCTATTTACACGTAACATTGTAAATATCAGTCTTGGGAATCAAATCTTTCATACTTTATAATTTCAGCTATCAAGAACTATTGTCTTAGGACAATATCTTTGATTCACGCTAAGTATATCTTCGCCTTTTGTCGAATCTTCGAGCGGAAAGATCATTTGTAGTACAAAATTGTTAGAAAAACTGTTTTATTACAATATCAACATTCTTACAGTAATTCTCGCTTACGATCGACACGTGTAATCTACAGGTACAATAAACTATATAAAACGCAATAAATATTCGTAGCGTTTATATTGAAAAATCAGCACAGTTCAGTCTAGTTTCTTTTTATTAACAGCCTGCTTCGATATCGTTCTCCAGCAGAGTTTCTTCAGCCCGTATATGAGCAACACCAACGCGGCCGCATAGAATGCCACCACGTCAATGGAATAATAATGAATGACGCCCATGTGTCTAAAAAGAATGAACTTCAGTTTTGTTTTGTCAAACTTTCTTTCGAGGAAAAACGTTTTCCGTCAGAAGAAACAACATGAAAATAACGGGAAGGAACTTCGTCGTGTACCTGGTGGAACTCATCAAATGTTCAGCACCCTTGTACTTGGCGACGTGTTCCACCCACCAGGTCGCCAATTTTCTTGGACTAATTGGCAATTCTCGTAACAACGAGCTGCGTTTCTTTGCTGCCATTCGATACGAATTGTTGTGCACGGCGGCCACCTTCAGGATCCCCTCGCGAAGATTTCCGACCGAGATGCCAGCTAGATCCATCACCAGAGCATAGCCTAGCTTTTCTGCAACGAAATATTGGTTGAAGCTATTTTTGAACATTCGCTGAACATTAAAAGATCTCGATCACTGTTAATCAGACAAAGCACAACTTTTAATCAGATTCGGCTAAAAGATACCAATATGATGCTTAATTGGAAATCTCTGATGGATCCGAGATCCATTCTGCAAACTATCAGAACATGGAAACTCATTATACTCACCTGCCTGGGCGGCGTTCCCGTCGTGATCACAGAAGACAGGCAGAACGAGAGTCGGAGCACCATGATATGCTGCTTCGTGCAGAGACAAGAGGCCGCCGTGGGAGACGAAAGCTCGGAGTTTCGGGTGCCCGAGGAGGTCCTGCTGTGGCCACCAAGCCGCCGTTCTGACGTTCGACGGCAGATCTTTAATCTTCCCACCCTCCCATTTCCATACAACGTTGTAGGGGATTGTGGCAAAAGCTGCGACGAATATCTGACGAAGAGCCTCTGGCATGCCCGACGCTCGAACCGACGAGCCCATAGAGACGAAGATGAAACCTGCCGACCACGTTTTCATGTTATCATCGTTATTGGAATCTTTGTGGAGGATGTTCAATCTTTTCGAAATTCTAGACGGACTGAAATCCGTGCTTGAAAAGTAGTATTAGTAGTAATTATAGTATTCTGTTTCTATAGAAGGGTGATATTTCTATTCTTTGTGAAAAAGCTATCTTATTCCTCCTCTAAAAGTCTTCTTTCCCCTCATAGGAAAACTATTTTTTCCTTCCGCGAAAGAACTAGTAGTTTTCTCCACGATAGTGCAATTCTTCTTTCCACGAGAAAGCTATTCCATTTTGGTCCAATATGGAGCCAACTGGGATGCATAAAATTTCATCAAACTCGTCCGCGAACGTTCTATCGGATACAGTTGTCTGGACGGGCGACTCCCTTGATTATTTCTGTTTCCAGGTATGTAAATTGCGGAAGTTCCCAGCGTAGACGCGTGATACGAAGTTTCACGGTCCTCGAAGTTCTGCGAATCCCGATTAATATTCATGCGTCATCGGTAGAACTTACATCGGCGGTTCGTCATGTAACTAGATAGGAAATAAGATCAAGTCCAGTGTGAACGCACCTCGCAGCAGGAAGTTCTCCATATCGTTGCTAAGCTGAGTGGCGGGATTGCAATGGAGGCAAGCGACGTTGACAACGTTCGCCAAGTATGGCAGAGAATCAGCGACGCTGTAGTGGCTGTTCTGTAACGTCAACGGCACCTCGGCAGTCAAGTCACGTACGTCGGGCAGCTGATCCCCTGGAAATGGGGCATAGTTCTGACGTCGCTAAAGATCAAATCCTGCGATCGAATCGTTCATGGCTCATAGTAAGAAATTTTGTGAACTGATCGTAGTGTAGGGGTAGCATTCTGATGTTATTGCATCATTTTATTGTCGTCGCTTTCAAAGTATTCCTACCTTCTGAAACTACAAGGTAGGAAAAATTCAGAGAAGTTAACAGACTCGTCAGCAAGGCCTTTTACCAGATCTTTCACTTAGACGTAAGAACTAAATAGCCCTAATGACTGTTCCTATACCAAAGAATAAAGTAAATATCGAAAGACATTTCAACAACATTAGAATATGTCGACGGTTCTGATGAACATCCTATCAAATCAGTTTTAAAATTGAATTGAAAGGCGGATTTGACACTGAGAGACTGGCAATGGTATGCAGCTTCAACATAGGAGTATTTTCGCCATTTTTTCTCTTTGTTTTGATAACTATAAGCTGTAGCCAGCTTGTCAATTGAAAGAGCAATTGTTATGAGTAGCAACTGTGCCCTTTCCCCACGGTCAGTCCACGAACCTCACTATCAGGCAGCGTATCTACGTACCGAGGTATCTTCTCAGAACGGGCTGCACGTATCCAGTAGTCATGATCCAATGCATGATCCGCAGCGTGACTAGACACGCCGCGTTCAGTATCCTCTCGAAGAAGCCCATGTCCTGCGTGAATGATTTGCCGAAGTAGGGCGTGACCGACCAAGGAGACGGATTCCCCTGACGCCCTATGGAGCCGCTGTACAGGGCGACCTGTGTGCCAGTGGTATCGATTTCACCCGATTGTCCAATAATTCTTGCCCTCCGAGTAATTGCCTTCGTTAAACGGCTAATGGTAATTAAACGTGCGAGATTTAATTGAAACGTGATACAACCCCTGCTGCAAGAGACGCGACCTCGAAGCAGAGATTGCTCTGCTTTGTTTGGAGTCAGCCCGCGATACTCTTTTTTCTCTCTCCCTCCCTTCCGTCTCTCACCCCGTGACCGAATCCCACGGAGCGCGTAATTAAAACCGGAGGTTTACTTTTGGGGCGTAGTTGGGTATAACGGTACACCAATTAGGAGGTCGAAGGAATTAATTAATGAGGGAGTAATTAATAGCCTTTAGGGATTGGAGGAAGGACTAGTTGATCAGGAGGCGTGCTTGAAAGAAGCTTTAACGATAAACGTAATGGGTTGTACCCTTGTGTATACAGAATTAGTCTTCATTTTTTCCATGTGTACTTTATATAGGTAAATATTATCAATAACTAAAAAGAAGTTCACGAATAGTCAGTTCAGTTGTGACGAAGCGTTTCATTTATTTCTATTTCGAATTGCTCGAGCGTCTGTTCAATCTGTTCACGGATTTGATGGTAAAGTGAATCTAGGATTCGTTGACGTACTTATGATTCCGCCCCTCATTCAAAGAACTCGGAAAAGCAGGGGATTACCGTGTTAAGCATGATCGTAGGCACGTTTTCGCCATGGAGAACTCCAAGAAGACACTCAGGAAAGGCGCCATCTACCACGGCAACGTCCCAACGAAGACGAGGATTACCTTCCGGCTTCCTGATCCAAGAAACCGACATCTCGTCCCGAAGGAGCGCCTCGCAGGCTTCCCAGGCGTATCGCATTGCGTCCCAGGGCGAGATCGGCAACTCGTCACGGAACCTCGCGCCCACCAGGTCCCATTCCGACGTGTAATTATCGACGTAAGCCTACCCGACAATCAATTCAAGCGAAATTTACACACGATTCACCTCCAAGTTTATCGAAAAATGCACTCACTAAATATTTATGCACGCAATTCTCGATCGATTGAAATTTAACGAACCGTCAATTTATATCTACCCCCTAATTAGAGCTATATTATTCTCGAGAATTAGCCTTATCTTCATTGGAAAACCACGGTTACTTTAAACCGATGACACCAGAAAGACAGTGTGTCATTTCAACATAAACAAAGGAAACAACGTAAGATATAATATATAACAATTTACACATAGACAATTTATTTCGTCCGCACTGATTTCCGAAAAAAACGAACATCATAATGCATCTTAAATTCTCTTTATGACAAACAATTATCGAATCGCTCACCTCGAAAAGGGGTGGTACGAACTCCTGAAGGTCGTTGTTCACGGCAGGCCCAGGAAACGCGCTGACCACCGTCACGTTATGTCCCCTGGCCCTCAAACTGCTGCCAAGAGCGACGAAAGGTACGGTGTGGGACTTAGTGCCGCCCATGGTGGCCAACAGGACATTGTATCCCTTCGCCGTTGCCCAGAAACAGGTGACGATCGTCAGAGCAAGGACACGGTCGATCGAGTTGATCATATCTTCTCGCTTGGTGGGCTCTGATGCCCGTTGAAAAAGAAACGAATTGTTTTGTGTTTCACGTAAACCGGCCTATCTGCCAGCTGAACTCGCTGCGTTGGTGCTGCTGGCTTCGAATGGTAGCCGGTCGTTGTCGAAAGAACGGCGAAACGTCGAGGACGGTCGCATCGTCGAGTCGACAACTTCCTCCGGTTCCTCTTGCCACTGTATCTTGCCGCTCTTCCGTTCCAGCGCGTTTCCCTGTTAGCTCAATTGTTGTGCTTCGAGTTCCCTCCTCCTCTGAGAATGCCTTTAGAGCACTACAGCCTCAGCGGAGTTTAACGAGCTCGCGAAACGACGTTCCTACGCGGTGCTCGTCCTCCAGAGCTGCTAGAAACGGAGCCGGCGATCCATCATCATGGAAATCAGTCAGCCGTTGAATGCTGATCGTTGGTCAATGGGTACGGGTCACTTTGCGTTCGAGTGTTTCTTCATTTAAGGACTTTATTAAACTCCAGTGATTAGTTGCTAATCATTTTTTTATGAACCTGCTCGAGTAGCGGGTAATCTGTCGGACTGATTCGTCATTTTATCTTCGCACCCTGTAAATTCGCGTGATTCGCCGCGTGAGAGGTTTAAAATGTGAACCGTGGGGTTGCAATATGGACTAAAATGATGAATTTTAGATTTCTTTTTTTCGAATCATTGGGAAAATACAGGCGTTCTTCTGAGAATGAAAATAGAGAGCACCGCGGCTCGGAAATAATTGATTAGTGGTTTTATTAACTTGGATTCCTTAGCGAGGAGAATTTTAAACGGAGAGCTTGTAGAAGTGGAAAGAGTTTAATTGAGGAGGAATGGTGAAATAACAATTGTTATTGAAGGGACTCTCATTTCGAGTGCGTTTTGATTTCATTTCTCTGGGGTGCGAATACTGCAACAGGTCTGGTACTTTCGAGCTGTTTAAAGGAAATCTGTCTTTTCATTATATAGCTTTGTACTTAATTTCTATTATTGTAATATATAAATAAAAAGTAGAATTTTCAAGTGGATTTTCTAAGGAGATAAAGAAGTCACATAAATATTGCTATAGAACATAAGAGTCACATGACACGTAGTACCTACGATATGCGAATCAACGAGTCTAATCTTCGACGGTGTTTGAACTGGTGCCCGAGACTTTCTCTAATAACGCGAGTTTCAAGTGCGGTATTCAATCGTTTGGTCGAGACAATGCGATTTCTCGTGATCACCGCGATCCTCGGATTTCTTCTGTTCTCCTTTTTTCCCGGCGGAGTTAGGTAAAATGTAATCCGATTACATATTACTAACGACAATTCAAATATAATAGTTCATTTCAATAAAAGTTCTCATTTTCGGATTACTTCCAATTACAAGGGACCAACCCAAGAAATTTCATAATTGACTTGCAATCGTGTGCAAGTTGTACTTTAACCCTTAACAACTAAGTATTTTAGTTACAAAAGTTGTAAAAACAAAAAGTTTGCTTGGTAATTCAAGTCAGCTAATTTGAGAGAGACGAAACAAGATGAATTATTAAGCTGTAATCACTAATCCTAACACATTATTTATTATTAGATACTAAACATTTTATCGAAGATTAATGAGCAATTCTGAAGAATTTCTTAATCAAACTTTCAATAGCAATAGCAATAGTAATCCAGAAATAACGAACTACATCGAGTAACCACAACCTAATTATTGTTCCACTACTATTACTCAAACAATCTTATTTGGCCAGTTTTGATACAAGATTATAATTGAAATTTCATTAAAAATCCTGCGGTAAAGCGTTATACATTCGCGATCAGCGTTCGTTTGATCAAATCATTGTTATAAAATGCCAAACAGAATTCAAAACAAAAATCTCGGTAATTTCATTGACATTGGATCACGCTTTGCGATATTGAATAAAAATTCAAGTGAAAATAATTGAATTCTTTTCACGCAGGATGCAAAATGTTGAGCGTCACAGATATGTGGTAACGGTGACGAAGGTGTTAATATACAACCGCGTTACATTTTGGTCAATCTTACTCCCCGGCAGCTCGATTCTGGTTCGCCAAAAAATGGACTGGACCGATTTCACTTCCGCACGGCAGGAACGGTGGCCGAGCCGGGACGACCGAGAGAAATCGTTAAATCCATTTTCGGACCGAAGAAAGAATCGAAAGTAGCCGGTCGAACGGCGACGGTCACTCGCCGCGCGCACGAAATCGCGAGCAGCTTTAACCGTGGCTCGCTCGGATTGAACGGGCCGGGAAAATTGGTTCGTTTCCGTGGAACGGAGCAATTGGATCCGATCGAGGCGCCATGCGCCAGTGGTTTCCAAAACATTGTGTTGCTACGCCGTCTTTTAACCGTTTCACACGATTTATTTTAAATGTTGCTGGGTGTAAACTTTTATTTATTTTTCGAACATGAATTAAAGTAATTTGCTGCGGTAGGATTCAACGTTTTATGTTTATTTCATTTATTATTACTGTAATAAGATTTCATTTTTATAATCTTTTAAAGTGTGGTATTTTTTAAAACAATTTCCAACGTTCTATAACAACTTCTATTGTCATTTCCAGCATAATATAGGAGTGCAAAAGGTTAACAGATTGACTGCCAGTGATATTTTTAGTTGTTAGCTGGAGTATCGACATTGTTTTTCTGAACAGTTCTTATGAAAAATAATATATAATATATAAGTGGAGTACTTAATACCTTTATTTCACTTTAATAGTTTCTTATTTTCTTAATATTCAAAAAATACATTCCGATCGGACTGAGCGGCAGGCAACCTCTCCTTCGTATCGTAAAATAATACATTTTTAAATGGTAAAAAATATATTGACACTTTATCTGCTCATTATGTTGTTTCGATTTTGTTTGTTTTAGAGCAATGTAATGTTAATAGGTTGTTAAGTATTCGGAATCTAAAAACCGATTGATAGGCTTGCAGTAGATAAAGCGTTAATACCGAATGTTATGTTATAAAAATAACATTTCCAATGTGAAAATCATTACTATAGACGGTCGAATTCAGACACTGATAAACCACGCTCGATCGAGAAAATCAAAGAAACAGAATATCTTCCAGTGGCAAATAGAAGTAAACGGATCGGTAAACGATTTAGATTTTTTACGAGGATCGCTTCGAACGAGATGATTGATAAGAAAACTTGAATAAAAGTTGATAAGTAGATACCATAAGCGGGATTCTCGCGGCATTCGCCTCTTAAACCTCGGAACACGGGAAAACTTCGAAAAAATTTGAATGAGTTGTTTAGCTCCTTCGGAATGCGAACGAGAATCATTAATGGAATGAAGAAACTTTTCTTCGACGTTAACGCTTATAAAATGGCACACGGAAATCGTGTGTATATGTTTGCTGTCTTCAGATATGTCGGGCAGATTGAATCCGAATAATGAACGGGTTAATGATCTTAACCTAGATCTTATGGAGAGTCTAATAACCTGTGTTCGAAAATTCACTGTGCCAGGATTTCAACATTACAGTTACATATTAAAAGTTACAATTTTCGTAACCCAATTCTAGAGTTTTTCTAAAAAAAAACAGTTCCCAAAAGCCAAAAGTTCTTTGGGTTAATAATCGAATTGAAAAACGACTTTTTACGCTCTAATTGAAACTCGTTCTGGATCTTATCTTGAAACCAATACAAGTTTTAATTTTTCTACGTCGTTAATTCTTATTTTATTTGTGTGCGATTTGTCTTTTTAGATAGAAAATGTATTAGATATCCGTGTAATTAGTATCGAATGAGTTGAGAGGTCTGTATTAAACGGAATTGCTAATGGGCGAAGGAGAATTATCGGTTCCATCGATTCAGTGATCCATACACGTGACGACTTCCGATTACGATGCAGAGGACGATGCAGGATGTGACAATCCACCAAAATTTCTCAATCTCATGACAGTTTCGTTTATAGCCGATCGTTGCGCGCGGATAGATCAGCGCAATGTCGCTTCATATTAGCGTGTTAATTCGTCGCGGTTCACCGTGTTGCGATTACTAGTTGCGAAATTCACCTGTGCACTTTGTGTGCTTTAGGCGAGTCATAAACTCCGATGCATCTGCTCCGAGTCGGTTTAATTAATTGCAATAGCTGGATTGCGTGTCCTTATGCAACATCAAGATTCTTCAAAGAGAAATCCAGAGCATCGTGTTAAATATAAATTAATCTTCTTTAGTAATGATTTCGATGCATAGAATTCTCTTGCACTACAATGTTATAAATATTTATCATTATGCTTTAAAAGAATTATGCGAACCATCGGAATTATATTTACCATTCAAAATCTTTATTTTTATCCTCGTATTCAAATATTTCCTGCCAACTTCATTAAGTCGATTCTTTATGTTTGAAAAGCATGTTGAACCATGAAACCAGTTCCTTCTAAATTCGCTTTTTTCACTAACAAATATTCGAAAACACACACTCGAAACAAAAGGTCAAAATCTTCTATTTCTTATTTCGTGTTATTTAAATAAATTCTTTCACTCTTATTTATCGCTGAATCACTAATCTCCCATCCAAATAAAGACCGTATTTATTACTTACATAGTTTAATTAATTAAACTGTTATGTAGCCTAATTTATCATTGCCAGTATCACTAATCTATAACAAGAATGTAAAATCAGATACGTTTGTATCTCTTTAGTAATTCTGATATGCTAGTAAAAAATATTATTAAAAAGAATATAGATCAGTGATTCCGAGTTGAATTACATGCGATTCAACGTGAATTAAACAGCATCAAATACACATTCAATGTATCCAGTATTCACCATTTCCCAGCCTCAACTTTACTCGGCTCTCTGTTCAGCGTGTCGAATCGGTGGATCGCGGAAAGGAATCCGTAACATTCTTCCTTACCTTCGACTTTCTTTCTCTCCTATATACGGTCAGCGTTCCCTTCCGTTCCCATCGCACTCGTTCGTCACCGTTATCGCCCTGTCGAATTCCCGACGATCGATTATCGAACAAT